ACAGTTCATAATTATAATTATAGAAGATGCTATACAAAAACTTGCATTAATCTAGGTCAGTGGTCGGCAAAGTGCTGCTCCAGAGCCGCATGTGGCTCTTTGGCTCTTTAAGTGCGGCTCTGGCACAAATATCTACTGAAGGCGCAATAATATTTTTATTTTAAAATAAAATCTGGTAAGAAAACAATTACATATTATTTTGATAAATTAAAATACATTGGTAGCTTTGAAATACAATTGCTGCATATAAAAAACAAGGAGATATGGCGCTCTAAATTCGAACGTCATTTCATTGAATTGGAAATATTGGAGAAGAAAAAATGTAATCTTAGTTCACAACACAAGTGGTCTGCTTTGAATGACCTGGAGAAGTTAGACATGATCATTTTCAAGGCTTGGATTATTATTCCTGACTCTTATGATCAGCTGAAAAAGCACGCGTTTTCTTTTCTATTCCTTTTCGGTTCTACATACATATGCGAACAATGTTTTTCAAGCATGAACATTATCAAGAGTAATCTGAGAAGTCGTCTTATTGATGAGAACTTGGAATCATGCCCCAAATTAAAAACAACATACAAACCTGACTTACTCAAACTTTCCAAGGAGAAGCAAGCACTTTTTTCGCATTAATTAATATTTATTAAGTATGAAAATTAGTTTTATTTAGTGTACTACTTATTTAGTGTAATAAAAGTTTACTGAACAAGCAGATTTGGCTCCCTATTTTTTTTTAAATTGTTGTAATTTTCATATTTGGCTCTTTGGCTAATAAGTTTGCCGACCACTGATCTAGATGGACGAATTTGCATCACTTCAGCTCATGACTATTTACCTTCTTACGCCTACAGTTTCATACTACTTAATCACTTCACTGTTCCGTAGATACGGAACTTTTATATTTTTCTATCTGCTTTGCCAGTATATTTTTCTGACATTCTTTCTTGTGGATGGTGGGTGTATGAAGTGAAATATTGTACGCAATAGACTTCCAATCGTACTGCTGGAATGACATTAGTTACTATATGAGGAGCATTAATATATTCTAACAGAAATCGTTGAAGGACAAGTTAAATGTTTTCTTGAGGATTCCCCAATAGGGTTGGGCCCAAAGTTCTTTTAATTATTGTTGTTTTGAAACTATTTTCATTACGTCGAATTTTTAAAAACGTCTTCCTTTTGACTAAGTAACTTTTTATATTAAACACTTTATTCAGAAATATTACAATTTGTCACAGTTTAAGGACACTTATAATAGAGTTCAGAGATTGCATTCATACCGTATATACAAAAATATAAATAAATAAAGTAATAACAAAAGAATAAGAAAAAAGAACCAAAGAGTAAAGAAAAAAAAAATATATATATATACATAAGTAAATAAAAATAGAAATAAAAGTAAAACAAACACCTTATATAAAACATACCTATATACATTATTTACAATTTGCCAGGTGATCTCCGAACCAATCCTGTCCCCTCCACATGTGGAGGGAAAAGGGAGGCTTAGGAGATCCCTACGCTTCTCCCTCAGCCACTTCACTGGTATTTTAAACCAGCGGAGGATGAGTAAGAGCGCTACAGCCACAGACACTCATGACTTGAGTGGAGAATCTGGCCATTGCTAGAACTCCAAAATATCCAACTAAGTAACTTAATTTTTAACGAAGTAACTATAATTTGGTTTTAATTATTTTATTTTACTAAACTTTAATTATTTTAAAATGAGTAATATTCTTAATTAGTACCTTACTAACCATTCATAAAAGTTCTCACTGACAACGAGTTGACAGACTCATAAAATCCTGGAACTAGGCACACATTCTTCAGGTCTTTATTTATAGTGTTTTTGAGCGAAGGAAATCTAGCCTCATCGATGAGAGCTACATCAGCACTTTTGAATGTCCAGTCGCATTGAGATCTAAAATATACAACAAAAATTTTTTTGCCAAAAATAAACACTTATTGGATTCTCCTAGTTACGTTAAAAAAGTATTTTTCTAAGGAGTTTAGTAAAAAATTTCAAATGCCATGCGCCGTTGCCTAGTTAGGAGTAAAATTTAATTATGTAGGTTTTTTTTATATCTATGTAAAAATTAAGAGTAATAAATCTTCCGGGTGATTTTTTTTTAATTTTTTTTTTAAAGATAATATAACATTAAATGCTATGAGTCCACTTAAAACCAAATATTTTCGAAAATAGAGTCACAAATAAATCACAACCACTGAGCGATTTTGGGGACAAGTCTGTGACAAAATGAACTTGAAAAGAGTTTTTTAGGAAAAAGAAAGAGAGCAGATGAGGAGTATTTTCAGTTATTCCATTTGTATCATAAAAAAAAAACAATGAAATAAAATAAAAAGTGTGCCCTATATTCGATTACAGACAGTGTTGCAACTGATCCTTTCACTTCTGCTCAAATTTACTAATAGTTAAATTCCTATAAAAATAAAAGAATCTAGCAAATAACGAAAATCCGAACAAGTAGAACAGAGAACAATAAATCAATGAAAACTAGTATAAATAAGTGAATATAAATATAAAGGCCACTTTATTATCTGGGTCATTTTAGGTGCAGTACTCATCTGGGTCCATGAGTTTGAGTCATTTCGGTTGAAATTTTACTCCATTCTTTTTTCAAATAATTGTTCTATTCCGTCCCTCTCTCTAGGTTTATATTTTTCTCTCTGCTTCACCTAAATTTTTCTGATATTTTTGGTAGTTGATAATGGACAAGGAAATAAGGGTCTAAAATATATGATAGAAATATTAAGGGCATGATATTATAAAAATAATATGCCAGAAATCATTGAAGGGTAACTTTTACTGTTTTCTTCAGAATTCTTCGAAGAGGCAAGGGACAAAATCTTTAAATCCTTGTTGTTTTGACAATATTAAGAATTTATCAAAATTCATAATAGAGGGTCGGAACTAGAATTTTTGAGCCAGGAGGGATCAGTTTAATTTTGCCAGGTTTTCTTTTATCTCCCACTACCCCCATCCTTCCCCAAAAGTCAATATTTGATAATAAAATAATTCAAAATAAAAAACACCATCTTATAACTTAACTCATTTTATTAACTGAATTAAGAAACAACCAAAAATTATAATAAAATATTTTTCTCTTAACCTAAAAACTACTTTACTCGAAATTTGCAGCCTTCTGAATTCTGCTACACGAAAAAAGTGTTCCCTTTGCTCCCTTCAATTCAAGGCCGTCAATTAAACTTCTGAACATCAAGTCGATAATACGCTATCACTGAAATCACAAGACTGTAGTGTAAGTCGAGTCCCTGAAAACTATCTCAAAACTGCTACTGATCTCGAGAGTCGAATCTCAGGACTCTCTCAAGATTGTATCTTGTTATAGCGAAGTGGACCTTACGATTAAAGTGCAGCTATGAACTTCGATTTCTTAAAGCATGTCACAAAAGAATCCTGAGAACAAAATCCAAAATCGCAGTATGGTTTATTCTTCGATGGATAAATTTTTGGAATTGTGTCGGCCACCTTAGCATTAGCCAAGAGGTACTAGTTTGATTCTTGCCTGGTTGAGTTGAAATTTATTTTGTGGCAGATCTCCAGTCTCGACCAACCGTTAAATCGCAAATAACAAACAATAAACACTTTATTAGAAATATTTAAGTAGAAAAATTATCAAAAAATTACCCAGCATCAGTCGTGGAAACGTCTATTATTCTTACATCTTCTAATAAAAGATCAGGAACCACTTCTTTGTTGCATTCAACCTTATTTTTTGGGCTTACGACACGAAAAAACATTGCGTCCAAAGCTGACGATAAAAATAAAAAATCATTTTAAATCGAATAAAACCATACGAGAAATTTATTATTAATAATTATGACTCACCTCACACACACCTTTTGGTGTAAACTTTTTAACAATAATAGCCATTGAAAAGTTTACTATTACTAACCTACACTACTGATTGTTAGTTTTATAGTTTAAATTTATAGCCACCCTCATACAATCATATCAATTAAAACATATGACTTTAGTTTATATTATAATATTAATATTTAATTATTGTATATAATTATATCATACATAATTAATACTATTTTATTTTATATTATGGATAGACTATAAATTACACATTGTATATTAGCTGTGCCTAAGTAGACTATTTTATAAAATAGGACATATTAAGACATTTCAATGTTAATCTAAAATGTTATTTTGATCATTATGAATTATTTTATATTTGACATTTAAAGCAGGAGAAAGGTTTTAGCTTACAAAATCAGTCCTGGGTTCGATTCAGCTATAAAAGAAATTTATTTATTTGGTTGCATCAGCAGTGAAACAATACTAGTGACCTTATTAAGGCTCACCCAGCCTCTATGAAATAGGTAACCTTAATTAATTAATCAATTGAGGGGTAAAACCTAGTGGGTGAGATCTCTGACCAGTGACCTTGTGTTAGAATAATTCACTCTGAATGATATACACAGACCATTTAGTGATATAGGCAAGGTAAAATAAAAAATGAAATCTGGGGATTTGTTTATTTTTAAGGACCATCAACAATATCTCTCTCTCTCTCTCTCTCTCTCTCTCTCTATATATATATATATATATATATATATATAATATATATATATATATTTAAAAAAATAATCATTTAAAAAGTATTTCATCATGTTAATCTATTTCCATCATCAGTTGTATACTAACATTAGTCAACTAAATATAATTTTTATGTTTGTTTTTATTTGGCCAGATATAACATTTTAATTTTGTCCTTTTTTGTTATTCTAAAGGGACTTCGTCCCAGAATAAAATTATTTTCTATTTCTATTTCTATTTCTAAACATTGGAAACTCCCAAAAACTAATCAAGAAAATAAAAAATATATGCATTTTAACACATTCTATGCTTGGGATCCTAATAGTTTTTGTTTTTATTTGTGAAAATGTAGATTTTATCCATTCATAATGTCCAAATACACAGTCTCTTGTAACTATGTCTTTTATTAGATTGTATTTGGTCTGTATATTGTGATTTAGGGTGTTTTCTGTTCTGATGATGCAGGAATTTATGAAAAGTTGTTAGGTTAGTTTGTTTTCAACTGCATCTTTTAGACCCAAGGGTGTGCAGTTTTGTATTTTTCCATACAGTGGCTTAATAATATTATTAATTATTAAACCACTTTTTCAAACTATAACTTAGCACCTACTTTATGTCTGTTGTTGAGTTTTTTACCTGTTAATATTTCTATAAATGACGTAATTAAATTATGGATAATTTATAGCATAATTCATTTAAATTCTACGTAAAATGAAAATAAAAATAAAATAATTCTAATATATTAATTAGCTGAGCTCCATGGTTTCATACATGTTAAAAATAGATTATATATTCCTACTGTAAATGGTGCAACTATATTGATTTGCTGATTCACACAGTATACTATTCTATTCAAAACCAATCTTTTCTACAGTTGACTCTAATGTGCTTAGGAGTTTGTCTCTGTGCTTTATGTTTTTTAAATTATAATTTATGCTGTAACAATACGTGAATGAAACTGTGCTATTTATTAGGGAATTTCATTTGACTCTATTATTACTAAAATCAAATAGATGGACTGACAAAACATTAAAGGATTACTTTCCTTTATTTTGAGAAATTTGTCACAAAATTTGAGAACAATTAGTAGGGCAATTTGAGAGTGGGGAATTAACATACATGGATTTATTTTAATACATGGAGATATAATCCAGATTTTTCCTCTGTCCTTTAAAGATTTATAAAAAAACAATTTTACAATGATTTATCTTCCTATTAGAAAATTCTTAAGTTGGCTAAAGCCAATTGACTAATATATCTAAAACGAGGAAAATGATAAACTTTTCTGTAGATGTTAATTTCAGCTATTCATCACCTTTTAATGTATTTTCTCAATAATTCTTCTAATCCACTGTTACAGTATACTATTGGGTTTTTAATGAAATAATATATGTTTTCCATAAATATGTACAGAATCCACTTTCAAATTCTAGAAATAAATTTATTTTTTGTAATGATTTTTAATAGGTAAAATTTACTTTATCTTCAACTAAAAAATAACCTGTAGGGTTTTATTTCAACCAGCCAATGATACTACTAGACAAAAAATCATGAAACAAAGGTTTATTATGGTATAATTATTTATTGGTATTATTTTAATGAATATATTTGGCAATACTTTTTTGAACTTATATGTGTCAAAAACTTTTTACAAAATATAACATACCGCACTCATCAATAAATAGACATAGTTCCAGCTGTGGATTGCCCCAGGAGTCAGAAGACCTTGAGCCTCTATAAAGTGGGTAATCATAATTAAATAGTTAAGGGAAAAAATCTTTTATCAGCTGAGGATAATTTCATTTAAATTACTTCCGTGCACATTCGTTTACCAAAAAACAGTGCTTACAAGGTACTGAACCCAAGACCCTCCATGGATTGTGGGGTTGTAGATTTTTTTTTTCCATCAATCAACTACTTGGCAGTTAATAATAGAGGGAGGCCCATAGATATAAAGGAAAATGAGACACATGTATATATACATATACATTGTAATACCGCATTGTAATGTTTTAAAAACTTTTTCGATTGATTAAAGTGACACTTACTCTACTTTCAGCATTTCAGGAAGTAATACTTTTTAATGGTTTGTGTACAGGTAAATAAAAAAGGAATTATTAAATTACAATGAAATTATAAATAAAATGAGTTTTTATTGCATACTATAATTTTTATTACACAGAGACTTTAATTGCTAACAAGATCTTGATTTACTATAACTATTAATTATTTCTTACTATTGGGATGTGGTCGACATTTTAATGAATGATGAGCAATTGTATAATGTAAACATGGGTACAATAGATGGATCGGTAAAGCTTAAAACATATTTTCAAATATAAAGCATTAACATCCTCAATTTATTCATCGATAAATTATTTATTACAAAAATAAATAATACTGATGGTATAAAATAACATTGTCTTTAAATGGTAAATTATAACAATACCATTTTTTTTTTGTTAAATTAAATTATCAATTTATGGTAAATAATAAATTACCAAATTAAAAATCAATTAAGAAAAAAAAATCAAAATTTCAACAATAAATCTTATTATTACAACAATATATACAAAAATAAATAGTTATCACATTTCAAAAATTTTATTAAAACTGTATTCCTCTGGATAAAATAGCATACAAGCAGGTTACAGATGAGGTCGAATTTACTAAAAGAAGTCATTCTAATTTCTTCAGTATATTTTCCTTTATGAGTGTGTAGGCGACACCAAGTGTAAGCGTGCCAACAACAGCACTTTGTGCTCCAACTCTCAACTGCATTAAATATACACTGGTCGACATTTTACCTCGGTTTTTGAATTGATAAGCGCCAAAACCGCAAGCCATGATCAAGCCAACAATACCTAAAACAATTACAAAACTACATCAGTCCACCCATAATCAGGTAAATGGTTAAATTAATTGGAAAATACTTTTCATATATAAATAACATAACTGTTATATATTTTTCAAAACTAGTGACAAACTACTATAATAATAATAAATTGCAAATAAAGTTGTAAATTTTATTTCATCAATATCATAATATTTATAAATATTGTCAAATTTATCCAATTCTGCATGGCTGAACTGTGACAATCAATTGTAGATCTCAAAATAAACAATTAAGATCTCAAAATTCAATCATAAGAATAGAAATTTTCAAAATACACAGAGGGATCAAGTTATAAAATGTGTAGATAAGGATATAAGTTTTTAATTTATACTTATTTAAGAAATCAAAGTATGTATTATAATATATCTGTATTTCATCATGTTCGAACTCTTAAATGGTTCACTCTCTTCCAATCTTGGAATTCTTCTGCCTTTGGTTCAACTATATTTTATATTTTGTGTAATTTACTTTACACAATTATTATTAATTATTTTACTTTACACAAACCTAAACAGTTCCAGACAAAAATATCATTATTAAAAAAAAAAAAGAGCATTTAAATTTCTCGTAATTTTTTTCCTGATCATTAAAAATAAAAAATATTATTTTATTCACAAAGAACTATCTCTGTAACCGCATTATTTATAATTTTAGAATATTTGTATTATGCTTTTCAATGATTCTTTAACATTTTCCCTTTATGTATAAACGATTTATGATTTTGACATTTATTTGTTTGTTCTGGTTAATTAGTTCTGCATTAAGTATAGAGAAAAATTAAAGATAATTTTTTTTCACAAATAATTTGAACAATGTGGGAAAGAACTCGTGTCATTAGCAGGTAACTGTTCACCGTGAAATCAAAATTACCATAACATTACAGAATACAGTAATTGAGGATGGTAATTTTAATAGATGAGTGGCAAATACATTTAAAGATCTATGTTAACACAGGCTTGAACAAGTTATCAGAAATTAATTCTTAAACCTTTTTCATTCCAAGGCAAAAAAAATATTATTAAGGTTAATTTTGAAATAAAATAAAATTAACTTTTTATATTACATGGTTGCAAAGACAACATGAAAAATTGTCAGGCTGTATTTAAAACTATTTAGTCATTTATACATTAATGATAAATAATTGTAAAGGGAATTTGTTCAAGCACAGATGAATATTGTTCACCTAGAGCAATACGCTGAAGATGAAATAGTGAAGGAATAAGTTATTTTTAAAGAACATTGTAAAAATTAGAAAGAAATGTAATAAAGAGCCAGCATAAATAAAAATTAATAGCAAAACAAAGTAGTTCTATAACATTCTATATAAGAATTAGCTAATCTTATAATTAAATGGCTGAGTAGCATGTAGTTAATAAAAGGATATATAGGTACTTTTTCTAGTATTTCTTTTCTTTTTTTTTTTTAATTATAATTGGGCAGCAGCCTTTTATATTTTATATGAAAATAAAGAGTTTCTCTCTGGGAAAGAAAAAGAAAGACACCAAAGAAGTACAGTCATCAGAAAAAAAGACTGTTAGTTCAGCAAAACAATTATAATGGAATCGACAAGGAACCCTGAAAATAAATTTAAAAAGTTTTTAATAGACTAGTTGTTTTGTTTAATTTAATTTATTTTTAATTTCAATTAATATTTAAAAAGGTTTCTTGTTTTTAAATTATCGATCTAGTGAGTTCTTAGTTTGAAAAATAGATTTTAGTGCACTCAATTTAATCTTTACAGGAGGGACTGAATGAGATTTTTCTATGATAAACAAAAAGTGCTGACTGCACAGTTTTTTTCGAGATCATACATATTTATCATACAAATGTCTGCCCTTAAAGGCCCATTAACACTCATAATATTGAAGCAATATAATTGAACAAAATATATTGAAGGGTTCCTCATAAGTGCCAATATTATGTCAATTACAATCTTGCTTTCTCCAAATAGTAACCTCTTTCATTTTATTAAACATAGATGATACTGATTTTCATATTACTTTTAATTAAATAACATTAAAAAATAAGATTATTTAATAAAAATATCTTCCTATTTTATTGCTACATAGAGTTATAAAATTTAGTTTATTCGGTAGTTTATTTAGCTCTTGGACATTAAAATTTGAGGGAGATGGGCGAAACCCCTCTCCACACAAAGTCTCCCACTCTAACTTAAAATGTTGTATAGCACATGACTCTACAAAGCCTTAGATATAATTTAATTGCTCAAAATAGTCTTTACACGAGCTGTAATATTGACAACCCTTTAATTATATTTAAAGAGTTAACGTAAAAATTACAACAAAAAATAACAGCCAGTTTGATTGAGTTCAATATAATTGATGCAATGTAGCCCTTACACAGTCAATATATATCACAAAATTTGATATTGACTCAATAACATTGATTATGTAAGGGCGTCTTGAGAGCCTTAAGATAAGCAGCAGAACAGACTTAATTTTTTTTAACACCAATTAAATTCACATTAAATTAGAACTTTATAATTAGTAATTTAACCTAATATAATAAATGTCTTCTTAAGCGATTTAATAGATCCTTGCAGAATAGCTCAAATTATTATCAAATGGTACAAATAAAAATTTAAAAATCAAATTAAAAACTTTATTTAAATGAAAAATAATAATTATAATTTAAATATACAATCAATCAGTGCATAATAAACAGTGAGCAATATACAAATAATAAAAATCAATAAAATTTTAATTATTACAGGGTTCATTTATAGACATTGTTCATCCATAGTTAGCAGCAGCGCTTGGCCAATAGTATTTTAATTATAATTTCAAAACATCAAGAATTTTTCTTAGTTTTTAGTATATTAACGAAAATAATTAATATTAGTAAATATATTGATTATTTATGTCATAATATTAATATACTAATAAATAATTTCAGAAATTATTTAGAAGAAAAATAAATCAAATTCAAAACATTTAAGTATTTTAGTACTTTTTATGTATTTTATTTTTTACAAAAGTATTTTATTTTTACATTTTAAAACATATCATTTGAAATAATCCCAAATCTCATTAAACACTATGACGTTCATTTGAAAAAATTATAACTTGAACAAAATTATGACATGAAATGTAACGAAGTTTTAATAATGTATCCCTAATAAAGGAAAAAAAATTAGGGTTAAACCCATAATCAATACTTTCCTAGAAACAAGGAAAACGCTGTACGTCGGAAGCCATGAGGAAAAAAGGATTCTGAAAACTGGATGAGTCAGAATTGCCCCACACGAATAGTCTGACTGACGTCGGATGACGTATTATCATTTCGAAGTCGACTTATCACCGAATTCCTGACAACGAAAGTTATATAAAAAGATAAAATTTCTCTCAAATCAAGTAATTTTTTAAAATAATAAAAAGGTAATTACTCAATACAATATAATTTAACGTGTTGAACTTCCTTATGACATCAATCAATAATTATTCGGACTACATCTTTTAGAACCGTCAGCATATTAAATTCACGTGTTATTAAAATAAAATAAAAATATCAGGGCAAATGGGACCTAAAATCACGTGTTAAAAAAAAAATCCTTCCAAATAGAAGTCAAGGTCAAGGTTGCACGGTCAAACCAAGAATTCACATTGATGTGAAATGTCTAAAGATCAAATTTAAAATAGAAAAACTTATAAATCATAATTTAGAATGGAATCTGCAATGAAAAGTTTAGAAAAAATAGTGAGAAATATAAAACACTTAAGACATGCATATAAAACCAACTAAAGGATAATGTTAATAAAAAATAATTTGGCCAATACATTAAATAATAACAAATATTAATAAAAAATTCAGGAATATTTTTTGAGAAAATTTTTAAATATCAATTAACAGAAATGTTTAGCCAGTTCTATGTGAAAAAAAATTTCAAATTAAATTGGTTTTGAGAAAATCATGAAACTGGGCAGCGATTTATACACTGTAAAACAGCACAATAAAAATCCTTGGCGACAGAAATTATCAGATATATTAAGAAATGAAAAAAAATAATCAAGTATAAAATCTAACTCATTATGAATAAACTATATGTCCCATTAAATGAAAATATCAACTTCAATTGTGGCCAATAATTCAATTTTAGAAATAAATAAATACACTTACATTTCAAGAGTTCAATTTTTAATAATTATATTATTATTAGTTTTAAAAAAAAAGTGTCAAGGGCAAGTCAGAAATATCATACTGAGCTATTGTAGGGTTCTACAATATTAATTATTTAGAACTTTTGAATAACGTAAAATTGTTACAATTCTGTAGTTTGACACACACAAAAAAATAAACTTGAACCTAGTAAATTTAGGAATATCATAAAACTCAAAGAATTATTAGCAATGTTTTGGACTAACAATATAAACAAATTTAATCTGGGAAGTATATAAAACCTAGGACTTAGCTTAAGCTGTACTTTCATTTTTCCTCATGTCAATTAGAAAATGATGCAATGTGCTTGCCATCAAAACTCATTCAATGAGATTTATATGTTCCAAGATTTATTATAAAATCTGAATGATAAAAGACCAATTGTTCAAGAGTAAGATCAAAGTGAAGGAGAAAATAAACTAAAAGTAATCTTATAGAAATGGAATAAAAGGGATAATTTGAATAAATTGGCCAAAAAACTTAATAGATGAAAGAGTACAACTTTAATAAATACGATGAATGGATATTTTTCAATAAGTAAAATACACGTCTATCTTCAAAGGTAGAATCACTACAAATAGTGAACAGAATATAAAGAGAGTTGCTTGCACACAAACTAAATACAAATTCAGGTTCATAGTGCAGAACAGCACACCTTGAACTTAAATATAAACAATCAATGAAAGATTGCAACAGATGGAGTTGTTACTAAGTGGCTATAAAAATCAATAAAATTTAGGATTTTGGTTAACTTAAGGCTAATCAGTATAAACTGAATAGGGGCAATACAAAGAAAAATAAATTTGTCAGTCTCTTAATAATAAATTATAGAAAAAACTATAGTTGCATGAAACAAGCCTTTCCACTTACCTAGAGGCATAAACGGATTCTCTGAGATTTTCCTCGATAATCTGCTTGTCTGGGACTCTGAATAATCATCCATCTTCTGCTAGGAACACAAAATTAAATTAAAATTGACCTTGGAATATTGATTTAACTATAGAAAACCTTATTGATTGTTGATTATTTGAATGATTTAAAATTGAAAAACTAGTATACAAATCGAAAAGTCATAAATTGCGAACTAAAACCAATTACACATTACTAACCGATATATGTAATGGGCACAGCCGTCAAAGTCAGATCACAGTCTGAAGTAAAAGGGCGAATCAACCGCGAACGGTAATTCCCCGAATCAATAGTTTCAAAAAAGCCCGACAGATAGCGCACCTTTACTTCTGATAATATACAAAGAGGTAGAAGTGGATGGTATCAACTATTTTCTTCAGAATAATAAAACTATACCACTACAACCCAAGATCTATAAAATTAAAGTAATTTTATAGAACTTGACTACAAAGTTGTGAGCTTAGAACATTCTAAAGTCATAGATTCAGTATTGTTTCTAGACCAGTGGATGTACACGGAAATGATTTGACCGAGATTATACTTAACCGCCATCTTTCCTTCTTAATAAATTAATTAAGGTCTCTTAATTAATTTATTGAGATTTTTCCTCGGTAGAAAGATATACCGACTCTTTTATTGATTCATTAGTGGTATACTAGAATAAATATCTTCCTCTGCCAAAGTCGAACCTAGGCCCGGAAGAACAGGAATAAATAATTATCTTCCACTAACAAACTCTGACCTGGGTTCTGGATAATAGTACAGTGCAGAGTGGATGAGTAATATTTATATATACTATAATAATATTTATAAGAAACAGCACACCTTTTTCCTTTGAGTTGTGAGCCAATTCAATCAATCAAATCCAACGCACTTTATAATTGGCACTAAGCGGGATAAAAATAAAATCTATATGATCATAATGTAGTTGATAACTTAATTTATTAAATCTTATTAAAATATTGATTCCGAAAAATATTTATATTTCGACCTTGAAACTGTTGGTTATTGCGTTTTACGTAATTATTAAAATAAACGCCCAACGCAGAATAGAACACTTATGATCTTTGAAAAAATTACATTGCAAGCCAGATTATTTCTATTATCTATCATTTGACCTGCTCAAAGCCATATTATTTCTTCTTCCCCCGCCCCGTTACTTCCTGAGAAAGTAAGGAAATCAATCGATTTTTTTCTCGAGATTATATAAAGATAACCCTAAATGGCTTTCAATTTCGGAAGTCAATATCGGAGATGGGATTTTTGCAAAGGAACGGGCAAGTTAAATTTTCTACCAAATCTTTGACAAAAAAAAAATCATTCACAGTAAATGTGAACAGTATTTAGTAAAATAGTAAATAAATATCATATTATAACATTAACTTGACTAGCTTAAGATCAAAACAATCATTAGAAACAGATATTTTTACTTACTAAAAATTAAATTTCGCTCATAATTTGCCTATGTCTAAATATTACCGTTCGGTTTTATATTTTTAAATAAGTGCCCCTTTTTCGATTTATTATCTTTTAGAAATAAAAAATGATTTATAAAAAAATTGTCCGTGAATCATGTCAGAGCTTCGTTTCCTCGACTCTTATCTCAAAACATTTGTCTTCGTAAGATTCGAGGTGGAATTTTTTCTGAATCGGTATGACGAGTGCTTTATTCCTATCTGAATAATTGTCTTTGTGATTGAAAATTTATCACTTCCTCCTTTAATTGTTTGTTTTATTGCAAACGTTTTCTCAAAAACTTGCAATTTTCATACCACTGAATCATGTTCGCGAAGCAATTTTTGAAGGATCAGAAATATCAGAATCATTATGAGTAAACACGAATGCATATAAAATTACATTAAAGAAGAAGAAAAAAATTAAATAGTAAATTTTTAAAACAACGGAATAACTATTATTTTTATTACATTCTTACATATAATCAGAATTCGTAAATATATTTGAAAATTTAAATGTTTTTTTCCTTTTTTAAACAATAAACATAACTATGACGTTAACGAAATAACGTCTATATCCCCTTACTATATTGTTTATAGCAATAGTTAAAAAAATTGTGATCGTCTATGAAAAAATCTTAAATATTATATTTTTGCTTTTACGCTATAATTACAATTCCTAAAGTTGACTTCTGTTGTGAAAATAATTGTAATAAAAAATAATTTATGAATGATGTTATTGGGTTTTTTTTATTATAATGTTTTTAATAAGCAATAAGCTAATTTCATTAGTTTCTTTTCCTTTTGTTTTATGTTAATTTTTATTCTGTATAACAATAAAGGTAAAAAAGTATTTTAAATAAATTTAATAATATAAATGAATTTGGGCAAAAACTCATCTTTGCTTAATTTTATTTTGAAGTTCAATGCTGTAGATTAGTTATACTATTCTAAATATTGTTTAATAATATGAAATGAAAAAAATTATTTTCTTTCTTTTCATCAAATCTGAAATCTAGGCAGCCCCTACAGTTGGAGGTGAGGTGAAATACAAAATCAATAGTTCCATGAAAGTTACTCCACATTTCCTGGTTATACTACACCATCAAACAGATATGTCTAGTTAATAATTGTCTGTTTACTACCATTTTTCAGGTAGAAATGATTAGGTTACTTAATGAATCCTAATCAAACTTATTGTTAACATGTTCTTTGTTAAATAAATTATGAGTATTATTCATAACCCAGTTAAGGAGAAATACCCTTGATAAACAACTCACTTTGACAAATAATTCAATTAGGCTATGCACCTTCATTTTGAAAAAAATACAAATACAAAATGTGACTGTACAATTTTAAGTCTGTCATGGATGGGAAAAGTTCCTGATGAACTTCCTGAAGTAAGTTAATTTGTGTATTATTAATACCTGGCCAATTAGTGTGTTCCTAGTTTACTTTATTCCGTAGAAACCCAATTTCATTTCTATTTTTTAAACAATTTTTATAATTATCATGGATCATGAAGTTTTTTAATCCATTAATTTCCTTTATGGCCTGACTGGTAGGATTTCTCTTAAGAATCTGCATTTATGTAATTTTAATATCACTTTTAATCTCTGTCCTATTTTTTAATATTTATAGTATTTTGCTATGTCATGATTCTTTAGTTAGAAAGTTCTGATTTGTTACAGTTTAAAATTTATTCCATAGTTTAAAAAATTTATATTTTAGAATTGGCTAAACATTTAATGTATATAAAACATGGAGAGGTTTATAGTTTTAATATATTCTCTGAAATCCTTCTATGGCTCATTTGAAAATGTATTCTCAAAAGATTTTACTCAATTATGTATTTTATTTTGGAATTAAGTTACTGATATATTTCTTTTCAGGGTCATACCTGGTTTTAATATTTCTTCTATTATTATTTATTAACTTTTTTAAATAATCATTCCTGCCTTGGTTTATTAGTTATTTTCAAATACCTTTAGTTTACTCGCTGAATTATTCATTTTATTATTTTTTTAATTCAGAGAATTTTGAATTTTAGAATAAAAATCTCCTCATTACCATATTTCAATACCAAGGCATGTACTTCTTTGGTTACTTACACTTAATGAAATAGATATTGTTAATTAATATATTTCTTTTTCAGTACAAAATATTTATTTTCAATTATTTGTACAATTTCAAGTATCAAAAATATATACAAATTAACTTGAATAAATTTATTTGGTAGAATTGATTAAGACGTATTTTTCGAAATTGTTATCTTATATATAGATCATATAAAAGTTATTTTAAAAATTAAAAAATAGATGATGTGATAATGAATATTTGATTTAATTTTCAAATTATTTTTTCTGATTATTAATATCATTGGGTTCTTGAAGAATAGTGATTTTTTTTTACTAATGGTTACTTTCTGTGAATAAAAATAAAGCCAGTTTATTAGGTAATAGTAACATTAAATTTCTGCTTTTGAAAATTGTTAACACTAACAGTTGCATTTAAGTTAATTAGATGTCTAATTTTTTTATTTTATTAAAAAGGACCAAGGTTGGAAATTGAACAGAACTAATTACTATCAGGAAGGTTGGTTAGCAACAGGAAATGTGCGAGGTATCGTTGGAGTTACGTATACAACCTCCCATTGCAATAAGTCGCTGGATTATCCACCACGCACGAATTACAACCTCCGAGGTCATCGTTCAGAGGTATAAATTTTATATTCTCGTTTCAAGAAAATGTATGTAATATTGCTTTTCAAATTTCTTTTTTGTACTGGTTTCGTTTCTTTACTCTAAGTTTCAAGATCACTCAAACCAGACTACTCCTAAATTCCAGAAATTACTCTAATGTATCCGAAGGAAGGCAGAATCAACTAATGTCAATCTCTTGTTTGTAAATCACCCCCTATTTTAAGATAGAAATTTTTATTCCATTATAATGGTCGCTGATTATAGTTGAAATATTAAAATAAATATAGTAAAATTCTGAATGAAATCTGATAATTAACTATGAACAAAAATAACTATGATTCTACAAATTTTCGGAGCATTAAAAATGTTATCTGTACCTTATTATTTTCTTATGTGCATTTTTTCATTATATATTTTATTACTGTACATATTTTCTCCATTCTGCATTTCTTCGCATCTGTCAGTGGAGAGGAGAATATCTATTTAATTTTAGTAGGTTTATTTTAACTTCATATCTTTTCTACACATATTCTATTTTTGTACATTCATAATTGTGAATAGATGATTGACTGTAATGAATAATTGCAGAGAAGATTGGTTGGTTTATTTTTGTAAATATATTCTCTGGATTTGTACTGTATATTCTCTCACTGCAAAGGGGATGAAAATTTTAATTTAATTTTAACTATTACAAGTGTGTGATTTAAAACCTGGCCACCATGTTGATGACCACTAAGGTCTTACGCTAAAAAACAAGTATGAATGAACCTGACTACCATCTTGGAGTTCAGAACCTTATTTTTTCATGAAAGATTAAAGTGGTATTCAATTTATTTTTTTTAATTTATATTATTTTATATATATATATATATATATAATTTAATTTTATATTATAAAAATTTATCTTTTCAATAAATTGGTAGGATTTCAGTTGATTTATTATGGCTTCTTTTTGTTAATATATAAATACATCCTAAGAGATGAGTTTATCTTTGAGTTACAATATAAATTATAGCATAGCTTTGAAAACAATAATAACATGAATTTTGAATTTGGAGCTGTTATTAAACTGATACTGATATTTTTATGAATGTCTTTTGGTTAATGCCTTTTTTTTTTCAAATATCTTTTCTGAGAATTTTCATTACCTGTATGATTTACAGTCACTTCTATTGCTTAATGGATAGTCTCTCAAAATATGTTGGTATTAAATTAAATTTTTTCTTCTAAATTCTCATAGCTTATATTTATTATTTAAAAAATACTGATAGATTGAACTTCTCTTAATATATATTCTGTTTATCTTAATTTAAACTTGTTTTCTACAATTAAAAAAAATGAAATGAAAAAAATTTCATGACCGACTATAATTGTTAAGTTTTATTATAATTCACTCTATAAAAATAAACTAATTAATTGATTCTTTGTTAAGTAAAGATTTTCATTCATTACATTTTTTTTTCCTTTTCATGAATGAAAAACCCAATTGTGAATTATTGTTATTGAGGTTATATAATGCTTATGATAATTTTTTTCATAATTGATATTTAATTACTTAATCTTTTATCAGGTGATTTTAGTGAAATGGAACGAACCTTACCAGAAATTAGCCTCTTGCGACAGTTCCGGAGTTATTTTTGTTTGGATCAAATATGAAGGAAGATGGAGTATCGAACTAATAAATGATAGAAACACAAGAGTGACCCACTTCAGTTGGTCACATGATGGACGTATGGCGCTTATATGCTATCAGGTGTGCGGTTTTTTTTTTTAATAAATTTGAGAATATGTAAAATAATATTAATAATTTTGATATAAATGAATCCTGCATGATTCCATTTTATTTTTTTATTTCAGGATGGCTTTGTATTAGTTGGCTCAGTAGCAGGTCAAAGATATTGGTCCTCTATGTTAAACTTGGACTGTACCATCAATTGTGGAATATGGACCCCAAACGATCAGCTGGTTAGTTAACATTCATTTTATTTAATTGTAGGTTAAACAGATTATTATTTACTGTAAATTTATTAGGAAGCTATGTTGATCCCAGATTATCTGGGATTATTCAGAAATTTTAAATAGCCTCTATCATTGCTTCATATATTTTATAATTTATAAATCATTGGGTTTTCATTTTGGAATAACATTTATCATCTTCAGGAATTTACTTTATGTCATTCATTTATTAAAGATTATACATAGAAAGATCAGTCTCTTAAACTTATACCTCATTTTACATCCATTATAAGATCTATCAGTGTGTACTATTCTAGCGAAATGACAAAGTGAGCAAGTAGTTGTCTGAATGACAAAGAGGCTGATATTAATTCAAGAGAGTTGGATAACATTTTAAAGGCTGATTTCATTATTAAAAATTATCAATTCATTCAAGTTATCAAGAGATAAGAGCAGTCTACAAGAAATAAATATAAATAAACTTGTTTTAAGAAATTATGTAGATTTTGTATCGTTATTTTATTATTTTGTAACTTTTAACTAACTTAAATCTTAAAATCATTACAAATTGTATAATTTATTAATGAAATTTACAATAAGAAAAATAAACTTGCAAAAAGAGTGACAATATTTGAAACTAGTGCCGACGTTAGGGCAGAACCACTAGCGGATCCAGGATTTAATTTTGGGTGAGGCTTCAGCCCGAAACCTTTATTTTCATAAAAATAACAATAATTACTTTGGAAAAACAGAAAGAAACTAACTACCTATATGAAATGGTGTTTAAGGTATTCCTTAAGTACTTTTAAATGTAATTGCACGAACAATAATACTTTAAGAGGTATTTTTTAAATTTTTTTCCCCATAAAACATGGTTATACTTTTCCATTTTGGGGGGGCTTCAGCCCGAAAGTCCCTCCCCCCCCCGTAGATCTGCCCATGGGCAGAACAACCTGGTCATAGTCCTGGAGATACCAGCCTAAAAGGGCACCTGCCACTTGCTGGTAATTATAAAAAAAATACAAAGCATATGGAATATTTTAATTTATACTCTTGATAAAGCAACTGAATTAGAGATATATTGGATTAAATACAATTAAAATATTATGTATTATATTATATATTGTATAAACTGCTTAAGAAGTAAATTTAATTTTTTTTGGAAAGTTGACATCATTGATCGAGGACGCCACATGTCTAAGGCTGTCATTGCTTGAAACAGTACATAGGAAGAAACTGCTTGTTGACATCACCTTAATACAAGATGCTCTTAAACCCATTGAATAATAATATTAATACCTTAGTAATAACTTTTTTTATTGATTTATAGCCCTAATTTATTATCCTATTGTCAAATTCTCAGTGCTCTATAATTGTTCCTTATTTTTTTACTTCAAGGTGTATTTTGGAACCAGCAACGGCCAACTAGTGGTGATGGACGTTCATGGTGCTATGATGGCCCAAGTCGAAATAGCCAATCAAGTCGCTGTCACTGCGATGGCTTGGTCTTGCGAGAAGTTCAAGATGGAAGAAACTGATGATTCAAATGGTTAACTTAGTCTCAATATAATTTTCAGGTTTTACACTTATACACTTCAATTTCTAATAAATATTTTAATTTCAGATTCATGTCTGTGTGCAAAATATGTATTGGCTGTAAGTCTAGAAAACGGGACGATAATGCTGATGAAACATTACTATGATGTCTCACCCATCAGCATCCAGACTGGCTTGTGTCCAATTTCTATCGAATGGTCAAACAGTAAACAATTATTAGCCGTCGCTGGCACAGTCGCTCATACTGAATATACTAACATAGTTAAGGTTTATACCGATTGTGGAAATCTATTATATACAGCAGTCATTCCTAATACAACGGTAATTTCTATTTTGAACTAAGAGATTTAATTTGATATAATTCATGAAAAAAATTTTAATATATAGTAAGATTTTGAAAAAAATTAGATATCATTTTGATTTACTTCTGTGATTTGATCCTGTATATACCCATTCAAGGAAATAAAAATAAATCCTTGTGATTAACTCCAGACTTCTGTACAATGTCCTTTTCACTGATACAAGCATAGGCCAAATTGTTATTTATGTTATAAATTGCTATATCAAACTATGTCGAAGTTACTAATTTGTCATTTGTATTCAGTTATTAGATCAGTATAACATACTATTACCTATTTTTAATGTGTTATACATTTGAGATTGTAAATAGTTCCTTTAGAGCTATGCTTGGAAAGATAGACTTATCAAATATAACTTGATAGTGTCATACCTGACGTTTTCTAATTGTCTCTTATCTGCCACTGTGGAATCTCAGTCAGCTTAAAACCAACGTTTTTAGATTATATTCAACCCTCTAATTTTCATATCTGAATTTTTCTATAATTTATATCAAAAACTGCTAAAAGTCTCCATTCAATTTCATTTTATGTAATATAATGTAAGATGTATTAAAAAAAAATATTTTATGACAGTATCTACATTTCAGTCTGCTGTTACTGCAATGACTTGGGGACATAACGATAAAAGGCTGTTTGTCGCTACAGGCTGTATTGTCCATATGGCTTGGGTTTCGATGAGAATAGCTTCTCTCCAGTTATTATCCAGCTTACAGGTAGTTTGGAATAAAGCAGAAAAAATCAAAGTAGCTCAGAAAAAATAATGAGTGTAAAATCATTAGTTTTGTGTTAACAGGTATACAATAGATTGCAAGGTGGCATAAACCAAATACCTTGTCTACCTCTTCCGTTGAGAATCCAACATCGCTTGTCAAAACTCTTTGCTCATACAATAAGGGTATGGAGGTTTCTTAAAGATATTTTTATATAATTATATTTGTAATTAATGAGCCATTTTGGTAATCATAGGAATGTATCCATTATGATGTTGACATCATCAAACATTAACTTGGACTTCAAACAAGTTGCAGAACCATTGCCATGACCCATTTATAAGCTAATAAGTTTAATAGTATTTTTTTTAAACAATTTAATAATAAAATTTGTTGTTTTATTATAAATTATAGTATATAAAATAGAAATATGAATCAATTCAATAAATTTTAAAAAATTCATTCCTTTAGAGCAATATAAATCCAACATTTACTATTTATTAAAGTCTAAAGTAATATTGACATTATATATAATTAATGTTAACATTTTAGTGGAGAGATGATCGCTATTAGAGAAGCTTTGACTTACATTGATTCAACGGAGAGTAACAAATGGGTCATAGTATCGGACTCAAAGAGTGCAATCCTGACCATCGAAAAGAGAACACCGACAACCACACTGGCGAGATCCATTAAAAATATCTGGTGGAAACTAATAGAAAAGGGAAAGGAAATAATATTCATGTGGGTTCCTTCACAATGCGGAATTGTCGGAAATGAACAGGCAGACAAAGCAGCAAATATGGCAAGAAGGCTAGATAGAAATCCAACAGCTATAATTAAAGAAATCCCAATAGAAGATTTTATACATCATATAAAAAAAAAAATTGTGAGTAATGTGGCAGAACGTATGGCAACAAAAAGAAACCAAATTAAAAGGAATAAAAAGCCACAGTTCCAAATGGAAAACTAGCCACCGACTCTCCAGAAAAGAAGAGACAGTCCTCTGCCGCTTAAGAATTGGGCATTGCGAATTTTCACATGCCTACTTATTAATAAGACTAAACCCACTGACCTGCGAGAACTGTAAGGTGGAAAGAACTGTCCAACACATCATCCAAGACTGCCCAGTATTTAAGAATGTAAGGAAAAATCTCGATATGGCTCAGAGCCTAAAAGAAATCCTCAGTGACAACGAAAATGCCATGGAAAAAACCTTACAATTTTTAAAAATAATAAAGTTCTACAATAGAATATAAATAGGAAGTGTTGCCAATGACCCTGCAGGGTAGAGGTAACAATAAAAACAAATAAATAAATAAATAATGTTAACATGATATGAACCAAATAAAATATTTAAGAAATTAATAATAGCAATATTTTTAAAAATAGCTTTAAGTTTAATTTTTTATAAAGCTACACCGAGATCTCCATGAGTTTTTTTGCTGGTGTTGTAATTAGAAAAATGTCATGCAATTATTTTTAATATAATTTAGCTTCATTAGTGAATATAAATCAAAATAATAAGACTTGCTACAAAATAAGTAAATGATAGTTCGTAAATAATATATTTAATTATTTTTCTTTGCTATTGAAAATTAAAGACAATATTCAAACAGTATATACGAATGAAAAATTTTATTTTACATAAAATTATCTTTTTTCAGTGCTGTGTTCCGGAAGGTTCAGGATTGAGGGAATTCGTAAGCAAAAGTCCAAAAGTGCGTCTGCATTGCACAATGTTAAGACACGATGAAGATATTTCTGCAAATTGTTACACTTTGTTCCTTGAATACCTCGGTGGTCTTGTTCCCCTACTCAAAGGGAAGCGCACCAGCAAGCTGAAACCTGAGTTTGTTATATTTGATCCTCAAGTTACAGGTAACTGTCATATTTATACAAAGTTGTATGTATTGATGTACATGTTTTTTTGTTTGTAATTATCTTAAATAATAAAAACAAAATATTGTTTTATACTAATGATAAAATTAAATTAAATCGGTTATTACAGATTGTCAGTGCGTAGCAACTGGAAATATGACTCTAAATGCTGTTTGTAGCGGTAGTGAAAGAGAAGATTCGGAATGTGAAGATTCATATTCAAGTCCGCGTTTGTCTAGAAAAAAGAATCGTTACCATCCTAGAAAAGAAGTGTTATATGCAGACACACTTCCTGAGGTAATAATTTAAAAATAAATATGATATAATCAATGCATCTGATAGATTTACATTTTCATAGATAAGCTAATAGATATACATGTTATTGTTTAATATTCTATTCTGTTCATTCAACGCAAAAACTCGATGCCAAGTCTTGTCCTCCTGTTCCAGCCTCAACCAATTGTTTCTATCCTGTGCAGCCACCACCTAGCTCCTCAATCCCAACATAGACACAACATCACCAGCCACAGCATCACTCCACCAGAGCCAAAATCTTTCTCTACACCTTATTCCGTGTATTACTGCTGTAATAACTTTCTTCAGAATGTCATTCTTAGTCATTTGAGCGATGTGCCCACCCAGCCCATCTCAATCTATCGAGCTTCATGAAATGAACCACATCTGGTTCCTTAAATAAATCTCCCTGCTTGTCTTCATAACTGGTCAACTTTCACAGCTCCAAAGATTTTGAAATGAAACGAAGAATAATTTTATTCTAGGACTGAAGTCCCCTTAGAACAATAGTATAGTTCAAAAAATATGTACATTAGTCTGCCATGTAGATATCATACAAATATATACTAAAAATACTTAGGAAATTGTAAATAATATATATATATATATATATATATATATATATATATATATATATATATATATATACATGTAAAGATACTAAGGTAAATAAAAATATATATAAAAAAAATACAAAGGAAAATATAATTATCTACAAAAACACAGATATATACAATAAATACTGAGATATAAAAAAAGTGAATAAATAAAAATAAAATTATTTCTATCAATTAACTGTTGGTGACCAACGTAATTATATAACCCAGAAATTTTTACAAGCTTGCAGAAATTTGAATTTGTAGTAGGTGGTGAAATAGGAGTTGTTTGAAGGAGGTAACACAAATGGCGAAGGATTTACTGAAGGAAGTGGTTTTATGGGCAGGGATATATAAATCTATAGGTTGAGATTTGGTGTTGAGAGAGTGGATAGAAGAGAGTAAAGTAAGAAGTTCTAAGATGTAGGAAGGGTTTTTGGTTCTGAGGACTTGAAAAAGAAAAACACAAAAAAGAAATTGCCAAGAAGTAGGATAAAGCCACTTCAACAAATATACCAGTGTACCAGTAACAAATATGTGAATGCTTGAGAATCCCAAAGATGAATCTTATGAAGCAAATCATAACTTTGTTCATTCTCGCCTCCAGCCCTGTGGACAGCCCTCCATACACCAGGCAACTGTAGTCAAAGTGGGGGAAAACAAGGAATGTTACAAGGAGCTGTCTGTTTTTTTTTTTTTTTGGAATGGAATCACGGAATCGAAGGAATTGTTTAATGATAGTATGGATTTACAGGTAATCTGGGAAATGTGGTTGTTCCAAGAGAGGTTCTGATCACTCTGAGGTTTTTGACTGTCAGAAGAAATGGATGGGACGGTTATTGAGGTAAAGTAATGGAGAGAAAGAAAGGGAACTAATGAGGTGCTTGGAGACGATGAGGATTCCCTTAGTTTTGTCTGCGTTCAGCTTTAGTTCAATTTTTTTCCGGCTACATATGAATACAATTAATATCCTCTTGTAATTTTTGGATAGCCTCGTGCATCTCAGATGGTTGGAACGATAAGTAAATTTGTAGATCGTCTGCATATAAGTGATAGTGGGAATGACAAATGGAGTCAGGAAGGTCGCTAATATAAATGGAGAACAGAGTTAGAAAGAGTAAGAAGATTTTATGTAGAATATTTCTCTCAAAAACCATTAGATTCTGCTCACAAGTTTTGAAGATAGTCCATGTTTCTGAACCATAAAGGAGTATCGGCCGGATAATTATTTTATACCATAGGATAATTTTTTGATAGATTTATGTTAATTTTTATTTGTGTAATAATGAGATAACAAACAATAAATCAGTCTCACAAGAGCATTTTAAAAACTTTGAAAACAGGCACTGATTTGCTTACTAAGTCAGTTTTTGTTTCAATTCAGGAATCTCACTTGGCTGAGGTCACGTCTAACATATGGGGAACAAAGTTTCGGATAAGAGGAATAGCAAGCTGCTTAGCAGTCAACTTAGGCCAAGTTACTTATAAGACTAGCCTCCTTCACCTACAGCCGAGGCAGATGACTTTGCTTATGGCAGGAGATGGTCCTTCAGAACCTGGGGTGAGCCAAGTACTGAGCGATGACGAAGATGAAGGGAAAGGACTAGAAGACGGAGGAGCAGTTGCAGTTGCCCCTCTGATGACTAGGTGTCGTGCGCCAACAGGCTAGTAATAATTGTAAATTATTATAATAAAATATTATATCTACTGAGCAACTTTGATATTAGCCCTAACAGGTATAAATGAAAACAAATTAATTTTACTTTTTTTGGACCTGTGATTTTTAAATATTTCATGGGGAGCAATGAAAAATGTTGGTCTAATAATTTGTAAATGAAAACTCAAAGTATTTTCTCAATCATTAAAATACAATATTAGAATTTTGTGGTATTCATGATGCCATTTATAAATTCTAGCATCAACAATAGAAATCTTATTATGTATAACAAAATTAACAATTACAACTCAAATGTATAACTAATTTTCTAATTCACTTATTTTGTTCTTGATATAATTTTCAAAGAAAGAAATTAAAAAAAAAAATATGAGAAGGAGTTAATTGGGGGATGCGGTCAAATAAATACTAAATTAAAATATAGTAATTATTTTTTAATATTTTTAAATATTTTAAATATTAAAAATATTTTTTTTTTAAAGCAAAACTAATGTTTATTATTATTTATTTATTGTTACATTCCGCAACTACCCGAGCAGGTTATTAGTGGCCAAAATTAATGTTTTTAATGAACCTTTTTAACAATGATAATTATGTATTCTATTTTGTCTGTTTTATTGCAAAAAGTTACTAAGTGTAATTTAGTCTAGGTTAATTTTCGAAAATATTGTCATGAATTTTGAATTTATTTATCAATATAAAAACACTGTAAGGACATGAAAATTAAACAAATCCTTTTATACATCAAAAATAGTTACACAATTTTTTGATTTAATAAAGGAAAAATTGTTCAAAAGTTCTTAATTAGTTAAGGTTATGAAATGTCACTTAATAAATTTTTTGCAATAAACCAACCATTTATGTTTTAAAAATATAATATATATTTATATCATTCATTGCCTCTTGATTTTATAGGTTACCAAGCAGGAAACGGAAGCAGCACTGATAATAAGATGTCAAGAGCCGAATGGTTCATGACTCGTTCATCGTTCAGAGATTGTGAATGTAGTCCTCAAGAAACTAGTACACTTCACGTCGGAGGGCTTAGTAACAGTGAAGAAGGTAGAAGAGGTGTAGTCCGTTCATGCTCAGTAGGCTATTTAGACCTGGTAGAAGGAGCTGGGTCGAATAACAGGCTGGTATTAGTGAGGCAGGGCCGACCTGCGAAACTGACACATGCGGGCAAAAGTAGATCCCTCGATTCATCAGATATCGGGAAGGGGATTGCTGGAACTGGAGTGACACCACATCCTCCACCAAGCAGTTCTCCAGCCAGTCCGGCAATGGCAAAGAAAAAGAGGAATCCAAGTTCATCCCCAATTAGGTAAATTTGATTAAAAATAGATTGCTTAGTTACAATAATGGGTCCTTTATATATTTAAATTTTGATACTAATAAAAAATCCAATTATTAGTAGATTATTATCAATAAATAATATATTAGGGTGTCATTTAAGTTCCTTCCTTTTTTCTTTATTTCTGTTATACACTTTTTCCAAAATTATTGAAAATTACTTGCAAAATATTCATTGAGATGCGTTTTTATTTGTTTTAAACAAGTAATAATAAGATGGAACAAGGTCTGAGAAATACGAAGGATGAGGTAGAAAGTCCAAATCTAACTGTAAGAGTTTCTGTCTTACGGCCAATGCCTCATGTAGCTTTGACCATTAGACGGAAACTCTTGCAGTTTGATTGGGACTTTCTATCTCATCCTTCGTACTTCTCAGACCTTTTCCCATCTGATTATTACTTGTTTCTTTTGTTAAAAAATTCTCTCCGTGATAAATATCACAAATGTGAAAGCAAAACAAAAACGCCTCTCAATGAATATCTTACAAGTCTCAACAATTTCAGCAAAAGAGTATAAGAAGCTTTCTGAGAGATGGAAAAGGTAATAGAGTAGAACAGTCCATATATAACACGGTAAATCAACCTTAAATAACAAATAAAGAAAAATAAAAGGAACTTATGGGACGCCCTAATAGTTATATGCGTGAGTTATTTTTAGGAAGTTACTTATAATTTTGCAACTAGGCGTAGTTAGTCATAAATTTTACATTTGTCTGTATATAGTTTGCAAATTCAATCTAATATTACATCAGTATAATAAAAAAAATTTCAAAATTTTAGCCAAAGCTAAAAACAACAAGTCGGCTGATGATAATGGAATCACAGTTGAAATTTTGAAATTGTTGAATGCCAAATACAAAAATGATTACTTAACATTTTTATTCCTTAATTTATTATTAACAAAGCATTGCATAAGAAGATCTCTATTGATGGAAAATAATTTCATCATTCTAATACGTGAGAAAAGTTCCACAGTAGAATGTGAAAATAATTAGCCCATATGCTTGTTATCCATAATCTTAAATTTGTACCCCAAGATACTAGATATAAGTCTAAGAAGAAATGTATTAATAAGAAATTTGAGAACCACATTCAAGCCACAGAGATGAAATTTCATAGGAAAACTATTAGTAAGACAAGATACGATTAAATGAGGAATCAATAAATAGGAATAGAGACAGTCCAGGAACTGCTAATACAAAACATACATAGGAAAAAAAATTCTGAAGTTCGGCCAAGTACCAAGAATGCTGATCAAGTGGTTATTAGGTTTTTCAGGAAGAAAAAAGAGAGGAAGCTTTTATGACAGAGAAAAGTTACCACCAACACAACCAAAAAGAAGTGTTAGAACCTTAATCGGATCTGGCTAGGAACACTCTGGGTGAGATTGAAAAGTTGGCTACAGACAGATAGATGTTCGAGAAAGGGATACAGGCTGCCCTGACACTGTAAGGTATAAGGTTTGGATAATGAAGAAGAAGAAAAACATATAAATAAACTATTTTTATTTTAATGAATATATAATAGTTGACCATTGCATTATAAAGGAAGGAGATGGTTCGGGGTGGTGGTCAAAAATAGGCTAAATAATGGCAAAACTATTTTATTAAAAGCCAACGTTTCAAACCGACTTTGCAGGCCTTCTTCAGGGCTAGAACAGATACAAAAAGATATAGAAAATTGGTGGAAGTTACATAATATTTTTACAATTGTTACCATCTATTTACTTCAGTTTAGGATCTTGTTACTTAGCTTACTCTGATTATATTTTAATGTACTTCATGTTTATAATTTTAATAAGCTCATTCACATTTTTTATAATTTTTTGTCTAAATATTATGTAACTTTCACCAATTCTATATATCTTTTTGTATCTTGTATATTCTAGCCCTGAAGAAGACCTGCTAAGTCAGGTCGAACTGTTGGCTCTTAATAAAATAGTTCTGCCACTATTTAGTCTATTTATGACCGCCACCCCAGACCATCTCCTTCCTTTTTTTTTATTTTTCTTGATTAAATGTCCTTTGAAAATTTTTTTTCCATTATTATTATTAAAAAAAAATTCACTTATGGGTGACCGTGGCATTTTTCTCCGACTATGATTTTCATTTGTAATTTTAGAATTAACAGATCACTGATCTAAGTTTTTAGTAAAGTTATAGATTTGAAAATTAAAATGTTAAATTTGTTTTTACTTAAAATGTTTAAGATTTAATTCCAATTGTGATTTTAAGAGAAATCTTATAGTAAATTCCTCTTAACCAAGCTTTGGAAGGAAGAAAAAAAAATGTATATATATATACACACATATGTAAGTGTGTGTGTAATTTAAATTTTGAATATATATATATATATATATATATATATATTATAATATATAATATCAATATATAAACGTTATTGATGCAGCAAGATGTTGGAATCTATGCATAACATTTGGACAGTAATGCTTATCCTCGTGAGACCTAGGGCTCTGTAACCCAGGCATTATTTATTTTTCATGGTGAAGGTTTAGGTAAATTGAATTGTAAATTAATGTGTGTAAGATAAATATGAAATAGTAAATAGCATGCATGTTCTGCCAAATAAACAAATAATAATTTAATGTAACAATCGGAGAGACTGATCTCTTTGGAATGTGTGATATAAAGATGTTCTGATGAGAAGTTTAATTTTCATCAGTAACAATGGAACATAATAGCAATAATTTTCTTTCATTTTTTTTTTCAGAGTTCGGATTCTGAACTCTCCTCTCCTGCCCAGAAGATTAAGGCCGAGGCGTAATGATAATGATGGCTACCAAGACTTAGAGAGCTTTCAGAAAGCACAACTTAGGAATAAGGTAAAATTTTAACATCCATTTTTAACCAACTATGGCAGAGCTTCTGATGGAATAATGTGTTAGGTTGGCTTCTTGTAGGTATCAATTTTTTAAGTGGAAAGCTTAACCATTCTTTTAAATTTTATGTTATATCTAATATTAAAATATAATACTATATATGTATATATATCTTAATTTTAATACTATACTATAAAGTGGGTACTCTTAATTAAATAATTCTAATAACATTAATTAATTATCTACCGCGTCCTTCAGCTGCTGCCACCTGCCAGCACTTTTCCAGGCTTCCTCCTTTCTTTGTTCTATACTGTTTTCGTCTATTATTTATCGATTTGATACTTTCCATTAAACAACTTGTCCGCTGCATAATTAAGTCCAATTCATAGTGCAACCCTACATTCCTTCTCATTCACTCACTCAATGTCACATAAAGGAGTAAATACTCGAGGCCCTCTACTACACAAGTTTAAATATTCGCAGATTTCAATTTTACTAACTTTCCCTTCTGATGAATATTCTGATTTGTGTTTTTTTTTAGTTTTTTTTACCCATATACCAGAAATGGCTAAGTAGGATGGAAAAAAAGTAGTTTTTTTTTAAATTAAATTATTTTGTTCTTTATAATTTCTTATTCAACAATGCACTAGTAGTTTTTTAATTAACTTTTTTTTAACACTATTACATATTATGTATTAATATTAAATATTACATATTTCATAATTTATTGTCTTCTGAGAGCAGTAAAACAGTTCTCATAATTTTACTCCTTGGCAAAGATTAGTAAAATATCATAACTTGAATAATAAATAATCAGTATTCATTTTTCATATTTTCTTTCTCATTTGATACCACAAAAACTGAACATGAATGATTTCTGGCTTAAAATTTATTAGTTATCAAAATCATTTTGTTTTCAGATAGAAACTACTGCCAAACGGAAAGAGTTTATAATGCACAACAAAGCTCCAATGTGGAATGAAAACAGTCAAGTTTATCAGCTAGACTTTGGAGGCCGAGTTACGCAGGAATCAGCTAAAAATTTTCAAGTGGAATTCAGAGGAAAGCAGGTACAATTTGCTTCATCTTCCTTTGTTTTCATTGGTTGGATTATACTTGTTATAATATTTTCTCCAAAGTCAAAAAATCAAATCTTCACATTGTATCGAAGGTCATCCATCATTTGTATATTAAGTCCATTTCATAACTATTTATTCAATTTTGGTTCAGAAACATCTAATATATTATATTTATATAATTTTTTTCTTCAAAATATGGCATTTCCTGTAATCCCTTTTGATCATACTGGTTGAAATTCCATATTTATGGTTATTTTTATTTTTTTTAAAATGCTGAAAAAGTGGGGTTATATTTCATTCAATCATAACAAGACACAATGACACAAGCTTCATATACTCTACAAAACCACCAACAAATCCTACAGGATTGGTACAAACTTTGGAAAATTAAATTAAATCGCAACGAATTCCAACACATAACATTTTCACTCCAACACGAAAACTACCCTCCTCTCTATCTTGACAATGAACATATCCCTCAATCTGACATAATACATTACCGATGTCTAACATTTGACAGAAGGATGACATGGGACCCTCACATCACCGCTTAGTGAAATACACTAAATCAACAATTTCGACTATTATATTCCCTACTGGAACATTGCTCAAGCATTTCAGGCCAAAACCTTCAGGGCAATTACTCAAGCACCTTGGTATGTTAATGACATAACTCTCCACAAAAACTTATGCATGCAAACTATCACTGAACACATACAAACTCATAACAAAAGATTTCACAACAAGCTTTATGGTCATCCAAATAGACTGATCCAAGACATGGCCAATAAAAGCATATCCGAAACATCAGCAGAAGGCTGAAAAAGAGTTGGATGAGAAATCTCCTTAATTAACCACTAATATGACTGAAGATTAGTCACTGGGTTTTTTCTCTTCCTCATGCCTGTCATACCCTTTCTCCTTGTTTATTTGTAAATAGTAATCTCATTCACTGGTTGTCAGTGGACATTGGCAGTTGTGAATTAAAAAATAAAGAGAAAAAAAAATATTTCATTCAAACTTTTGGCATATTCCAATTTCTTTTCATTCTCAGTATTTAAAGTTTTTTATATCTTTTCAGCCCTTTCAAATTATATTAGAGGATTGGAAATCGGTATATCCATTGAATTGGTGATAGAGAAGTTTCTTTTGAGGGTCTCAATTTTTCTTTTCTTCCATTCTCACTATTTTGATTAATTTAATTTAGAAACAAATTAGAAAATATTTAAAAACAAAACATGAGCAAAAAATTTAGCATTATAGATTTAAATATTATGTTCAATTTCCTCAAGCAAATCATTATTAAAGAAATTAAATCACTTTTCATATGTTTTCAGGGAAAAATATATCAGAAATGGAGCCTTGCTGCTTATACTATTTTTGCTCCATCACTAAAAAAGAAAGTCTTATTTGTGATTGTGTTTATTTCTTATGAAGTTCAACCAGCTTGATTTTTTCCTTAAATGTCAAAGTTGTGTGAACTTTCTTATTTCCACCTTAAATTAGTTTTGTTCTGACTGAAGTATACATCACTATGGTAGAAGATCCTATGTAAAAACGTTCAATTTTTATTCTAAAGGTAACATTTCGTAGTCTGATGAAAAATAGCAGAGGGCAATAAAATATGAAATTATACTAATAAATAATTAATTTTTATGCTCTTCTGTAAAACACCCAATGTTTACATAAGACCTTTTGCACTAACAATAGCTGTATTCATGTTCAGTGTATACTAGGATTGTTTTTAGTTTTTTTTAATTACAAATCATCAAATATACAACATATCTGCAAATATGGAACTCTTCAGCATTTTAGTTTTCGCTCATGAACAAAACTCATGGATATCAAATCCAGCTTCTCAAATCTGGAATTCAAAATCAGCTTCTCCGGTAGATTTTATTCTCATACAAAATGTATAGAAATTGAAATATAGATATTGTTTAGCCAATGAAAATGGTGAGGAAGCTGTACTGGTCTTACTTGGTAGAGTTTTTTATGTGTGTTGATAAGATTTAAAATTAATTCTAAATATCAAGAAAAAAGTAATTGTGTTAATATCATATAAAATTATATATATATATATATAAATTTTAACATCTCTCTTATATTTTCTATAACTAATCATAATAATATAACCTCAGAAGATTACTTTAATACTATTGTGATACTTCCTAAATAAATAAGAGGCTATTAAATAATAAACAAAATTATAAGAGTATTAATATATTTATTTATCTCAGGTGTGGGTTACTGACAATCAGATCAAAACACTCAGATAAACTAATATTAACTAAACACTGTTTGATTTTAAAATAAAGTCAAGTATGGTTGGCAAGTTAACCTTTTTTCTATATATTGTAACATCCCTCTTATATTTTAAATAATAATAATATAACCTCAGAAGATCACTTTATACCCACAGGATACTTCCAAAAGAAATAAGAGGTTGTTAAATAAAAAACAAAATTATAACAGTATTAATATATTTATTTATCTCGGGTGTGGGTTACTGACAATCAGATCAACTCTGACAAACACTATTTACTATTATTATTATTAATTATTTACACTATTTATATTAAAATTAAACATTGATTTTAAAATAAAGTCAAGTATGAATTGACAAGCTAACCTTTTTTCTACATACCATGTTTCTTCCTTTGTGGCACTGAACTCATTTGTCTTCACACATTTTCTTATGTTCTGCCAAACACATATCCCAAAATGGTAACGCTATTCTTCCACTCAACTCAAGCTCTCTGGGAAATCCTCTCTCTTGCAATTCCAAACAACTATTCTCCCTACCAAACAAGATCTTCTAAGATGGTAAAACTATTACTGGTTTTACCCACTGAAGCCAGTATAGCATATTTTCTCTTAACCTCTCTTCACTGCAGTCACACAACAACTACTCGCCAAACAAAAACCTTTGTCCCTCTCCTCTTTGGGACTTTCCTTCTTGGGAAATTACAGAGCAGCCATTTTCTTTTCTCTGCACTAGTAGAACTAGATTAGCTTGCTTATAATTGTTAAACATTAATTTATTAAACCCTTTTAACTCACTTCCAATAAAGGTGTACATTACAATATACTGTTTGCTTTGTAGCGCTAAATTCATTTGTCTTCTAAAATTTTCCTATCTTCTGCCGAATATATTTTCTAAAATGTTGACACTTTCTTCTACTCAATTCAACCTTCCTGGAAGATCCTCTCTCTTGTCATTCCACTCACTAGTCTATTTGCCAAACAACAACTTCTAAGACTTCCGGGCTGAAGCCTCCCCCAAAATGGTAAAATATAACCATGTTTTATCGAAAAAAAATATTTAAAAAGTATCTCTTAAAGTATTATTGTTCGTGTAATTACATTTAAAAGGGCTTTTTAGGAATCACTTAAACACCATTTCATACAGGTAGTTAGTTTCTTTCTTTTTTTCCAAAGTAATTATCGTTATTTTTATGAAAAAAACAACTTTCGGGCTGAAGCCCCCCCCAAAATTAAATCCTGGATCCCCTAGTGTAAGATGGTAATACTACTACTGGGTTTTACCCACTGAAACACCAACTGCTTGCCAAAACAAAAATCCATTGTCCCTTCTCCTCTTTGGGATTTTCCATTCTGTGTAAACTTACAGAGCAGTTATCTTCTTTTCCCTGAACTAGTGAAACTATACTAGTTTGCCTTTTAACAGTCCAACATTAATTTACTAAACTTTTTTTACCTACTTTCAATAAAGGTGTATATTACAAAACATCATAGAAAAGAAAGCAACTTATGAAAAATACATTTCAGAAACACTTCACTCATTAATTCTGCCTATTTATTTACTAATAATATATCTTTTTTTTTTTTTTTAGGTGATGCAGTTCGGAAGGATAGACAACAATGCTTACACTTTAGACTTTCAATACCCATTTTCAGCTGTTCAGGCCTTCGCCGTGGCTCTTGCGAACGTCACGCAAAGATTAAAGTGATTTAGCCTTGACTTATACTTTACACCGCTGCAAAACGGATCTAATTTGCTCTAAGAGCAATACCATATTTCTATTAACATAATTGCTAATGCAATACAATAATTGTCTTGAGACATTTTATTTATTAATTTAATTTATCGTTAATAGAGTTCTCTTTAATTTAAATTTCTTGCTCACTGCTATATTCATTCAAGAGAGATTAGACTAATCATTGTTTGAAGGTTCACGAGTAACTCTTAAATTAAAAAAAAATAATTTGTTTTTTTTTTCAATAAAACAATCAACGATCGAGGCCGTCCATCTGATAATGCCACATAGGCCTCCGCGAATAGTTTATTATAGCCATTAAACCGATTAAATATAGGATTGCCTGACCTTGAACGTGAGTAAGAATTTCATATCTTTTTTCTAGTAAGTTGATAATCGTATAAGTCAATTTCGTTTGTAGTTAATGGCAGTTTTAATCGTAGTTTATATAAGTATTCGATAATTTCTTTCATAAGAATTTTATTTATACCTAAATGGCTGTGCTTGATAATTTAACTGTATTTTAGAATACACCAAATAATAATAATAATATAAAAGTAGTAATCCCACAGTTCTGGTAACATTTTATATACTACAAATGCATAAACTGATTAAAGATTTGTAAAAAGGCTTTAATTTTTCTCTAAAAAAATGAACCTACCATGTCAATTAAAAAGTACATTTAAAATAAAAATAAAGTTGATTATAAACTCATGTATAATATCGAAGTTATACCATGATTAATTTTAATAAATTACATATATTTTGCAGAATAACAACTTTCCATCGCAATGCTTGTTTATTTATTCATACTATGCACTTTCAGCCATCGATGTATTCTTTTTTGATGTTTACTAATTTTATGAAGTTTCTCTCCTTTCAATTATAATTCTTGTTATAATCTATCTGCTCAAGCGAATCATGCTATGTTATCTGTTACATCTTATACTGGTACTGGCGCTAGTAAAAATAGGAGGATCAAGTCCTATATGTGGGCCCTTTTGTCCTTTTTACTTTCTCCAATAATTAAATGGATATATCTATTGCGTCTCCATTAGGAACTTTATGGATCCTTGTATGAAAACCAGGAAGAATAACTATTTAATCGATGAAGCCTTCTGGACTATATCTGAGTTCAGTGACCTTTTGCACTGACATTAGCGATATATGATAAATAATCATTGTTATGGGAAGTTGCCATTTTATAAAATATATTCAATTGATTTTAAAAAATTTACGAGAGGACTTAAATAATCTTAGAATAATTCTAAAATCCACAACTTTCATTGTTGTTTTTTTTTAAATTGAAGTTTATATTAGATCTAATTCAATGTTTTTAGGTCATTTATCCATCAATAGAGTTAAGCGCATATGTTTGAAAATAAATAAATAAAAAAGGACTCACATTGATGATACAAATTTAATTGTAATCATAATAAAATACAGATCTGAAAAATATTAAATGATAATATATTTTATGGCGATATAATAATAAAATATTATCATAAAAATCTGAAAAATATTAAAAAATGGAATTAAACACACTTGATCTTCACTGATGTTAATATGAGTTCTATTTTGATGTTTGAGATGGATTTTAGAAAATTCTAAGATAGTTACTGATCAAGGGTCAATCTGACATTTTAGATCTATTTGTTTAAGTAATATTAAAATAACAGATACTTTGGAAGAGCCTTAAGGAAAAGCTTTGAATTGAATATGGTCTTAGTTTTTCCTTTCTTTAGATAAAAGTTATTCTGTTCTGAAATATATTACACAAAAATTTTAATTAAAAAAGCAACTTTTTCATTCTTTAATCAGTTTAGTATCAAAAGTTAAAGATATTCTGAGACTCTGATAAATATTTTTTAAGTAGTTGGGACACACTAACTGGCCAGCACCAGAATTAATTTATGTCTCCCATAGACATAAAGTTTTATTAGGCACTTGTAATATTTTATGAGCGATTAAAATGAAACTCCTAAAAAAAAAAAATTATACCAAAATGGTGATTTAAATTATTAGATAAATAACATATCTTTTGAAAAATATTGTTTCTTTCTGTTGAATAGTGACAATACTTTTAATAATACCAAAGTTCTTTGTCTTTCTAATTTTTTCATATATTTTTTTTTATTATTATTACTCGAAAAATTTTGTAAATGGATTTTAATATTAGAGCGATTGTGATTTTAAAACTTCCAAATTGGAAGAAAATAACATTTATGAACTTTTTTTTTTCTATTATGAGAAAAAAAAATTATATGTAGGAATAAATTATCATCCAAGCATTATAAGTGTTTGGATATGTAGGCCTACTGATTTATAACTCTTAATAATAAATTCTTGGGTCGATAAATGAATTTCCGTTTGTTAGTAGATATTTCTTCATAGATCCGACATATTGTTTATTTGTGGCTTGGTTCTAACATTAGTTTAAGTAAAAAGGGAAACCATAATTCCCTCCATATTTGTTTCATCCATCCCTCCATTTGTCAATGTCCATTCCATATCAATTTATTTTATAAAAATTAAAGTTTCTAGGAGTACAAAAGAAAAGAAAAATTGGGTGTGAGGCTTGGAAAGAAAAATACATAAATAAATACATTAAAACCTTATTATTATTATTAAGTGTTGACATATCACAATAATTTGTATGATTTCTACTATCCCTCCTTTTCTTCTAATATATATAAATTGGTGTTCTTATATGACAAACTAGAAAAATATTTAAAACTCAAAACATAAAATATTTTACAAACAAATTCTTTTTATAAAAACAATTTTTTTGTTACTTTTTAATTGTACAATATTCCATTACCTTTCCTTAACATTGCTGATATTCCACACACTAAGTGTATTTAAATCCTGAATCATTGTGACGTTTACTGAATATTTTGACTGAAATGTAAACAACAAAAAAATGCATACATGGAGGTATGGTTGCACTTTTTAAATAAAAATAAAAATATATCTAGAGCATTAAATGTAGATCATAAAAAAAAATAATAATAATAATTTTTGGAATACAAAAGAAAAAATAACCATGGAGTGCTGCCTAATATCATTTAATAGTTACCAGATCATTTTAAATTATATACAGTCTTTTGATAATTCAAATTCAAGTGATAAAAATGTATTTAGTTTTGTTTGTTAATTCTTTGATTTTTATTCTTTAGTCCTCTTTCTGAATAAAGGTTTCTTGAGAAATAAATAAAAAAAATTTTGTTATCAAAGAATTTGAATTATCAAGTAGATCATTAAAAAAAAACAAAGAGGTGATTTAATAAGAATGCATTGTTCATGGTCTTATATCTTACATAATTTAAAAATGTGATGTTAAAATAGTTTAATTTAGGTCTTTCACTTTAATTTAAATCCTTTTAGTTTATAGAAGCGACAATATTTCATTTGAGGGTAGTGCATGCTCTATAAGAATAATGTAGAACCAAGCTAAAAACACGGATATTTTATAAACTGAGCGAATGAATACATGATATTCTTTCCAAAATACATATCAAGCTTTTATATATTCTGTGCTATGCCCTAAGGAAGAGAACAATAAAGTAGAGATTATTAATAATGTACTTAATGCTGTTGTAAATATTATATATACAAGATGAACCTAATAAAAATTGGCCTAGTTAAAAGTATATGGTGAACATTACTTCCATAAATATTTTTAAATTCTTAAGAAAACATCTATTAAGATTGTTAGTACAATATTGTAAGTGATTGATATTTTCATTTTAAACTAACGTGTCTTTCTTTAATATTTTATAAGTAAAATTATTACACGGTGCAATGTTGGATTGAATTACGACACTTTTACTGTTTTTGCATTATTCAATTATTTTTAAAGGGATATGTTTTGTTATGTTTTGTTCGCTTTATTACCTTTCATTGTTAAGTTTAGAATATTAATTGTATTACTGTTAAATATTTCTTTATGGTTGTGCTATTTTTATGTAAAATAAAAATATCTAAATACTTCTTATATAACTTTTGTTTTATTTTGTATTTTAAAATGAAATGACACTGTCCTAAAATATCCTTAAATGACTTTCTCCTAATCCCTATCTATCTAGAATTTCTTCTTGAGGAGCGACTTACCTGGAATCCTTGTACAAGATAAAGGAACTGCACATCGATTTTAACTACTTCTACATTAAATTGACAAATATTCTAAACTTCTGATTCAGTAAAAGAATATCATTTACATGTTATAACAAAACTTGATAATAAGTAGAATAGAAAACTAGAAGCAATTTCCGTAGAACATCAATATTCTGATTTTGAATGGCAAGATCTGCATGTGACATTGCCCGTGAAATTTTTTATTTACTTACTTTTTCATTGAAACTCACAGTCAGTAAAACAGTTGATTTCTGTTCAACTCTAAGCAAATAATACTTTCTTAAAAAAAATAATTGCTTGATTATTTTGGTATATCTCTTTTAAAAAACCTCAAAAACCCAACACTAAATCTTCAAAAATTATTTTCAATTTTTCACAATACGACTAATACATAGCAGGTAAGTACAGAATGAATTTTTTATATTATATGAAAATTACATTGTGGTACAGTTTAGTAAAGTACTGCTGTACTGGTTGGTTAGGCCCAGGGATGCCCATCGTTCCCTCCAGATCGATAGCAAATAAATCTTTCCCTTACCCCCTCACAAGAAATTTTATTCTTCAAAAGAGTTCAAGTGAAAGTAAAATTAGAAAACTTATAATGATTAGAAATATCAATCTAGTCCAGGTTTTTTTCTTGTCCCTTGATTTGAAAATTTTTATCATGGAATTCATAAGCCAATCGAAATGTGCCTCCCTCAAAAGTTTTGATAACACATCTTGTGCCATAAAACCCCCGTCTGGACGTCTCTGGTTAGGCCAAGTATCATATGTTGCTCCGTAAATAAGTATTTGAAATTTATAATCAATCCTTTAAAACTATATAACAAAACCTT